AAAAGGTTAGGGATGGTTGTTGGAAAATTTGAATTATTAACCCCTACAGGAGACCAATCTGGGCGTGGCTTAACGGGGTCTCATTTTTTTTTCAAAAATGAGCTTCTCCAGGTCACATGCCACAATAGTTAATGAACAACTATTTCCTAAGTGTTAAAAGGTGGCGTTAATTATAAACACTATAACGTACTAATGGTTCCAGAAGCATGGAATTAAGTTCATCCTGTCCATTAGGAAGTTGTCCAGGGAACAAACCTCCGAAAACTGTGTTTTGAGGGGTTTTCCCCGTGAAATAGTATACTCTAATAGTAACTAATATTAGCTATATTAAGGGGGTCTTATACTCTCAGATATAAATTTTTCTCCAAAAAACCATTTTTTCGGAACATGAAGATTCAACATCCCTGTCCATTTGTAAATCGTATTTTGAAACGATTTTCCTCTAATTACTCCTGAATTTACGTTTAAATTAAGAAATCTGAACATTTCTAGCTATATTTCAACATAGCAACGCCCATAGCAAACACTGTTTACAGTCTAAAAGTACTCACAAAATGGATTCAATTCAGTACATTTTAATGATACTTTACACAAACGCTTTAAAGATGTGTAGTTCTGAGAATTTTGCATCATGGACCCGAACATTGTTTCTTCTACCATCTTATACGCTCCTTATACTTGGTTAACATTTCCATGACTGGTGTGTATTCGTGTGTTCAATGAAACATTTATGTAAAACCTCTAAATATACCCCTCCCCCTGCCTCTAACCTCCCTACCCCCCTAGTTCACAGGGCTAATTTGGGCTCTCGGAGACAGAGGTAAAACTTCAAAGCCTTATTTCTCAAAATGACCAAATAGACGGATCATCAGTATCTCGCACACGATATCTCCACTGGGTTTTAACCGAATGTTGTCAAATTTTCAACATTGGTGAAATACACAATTATCTAGGCCTTAAACCTCCAAAATTTGCAATTTATGAAATTTTTCCCTGTTATTTAGTTAATATAGTTAATATCAATTAATATTAGTATACTTTTTCACCATTTCACGAGAAAAACCCCCTCAAAACATTGTTTTCTGAGGTTTGTCTCCTGGACAACTCTGACAACTTGCTTATGGACAGAATGAACTTAATTCCATACTTCTCGAACCATTCATTATTACGTTATCGTGTTTATAATGAACACCACTTTTTAACACTTGGGAGCTAGTTATTCATTAACTATCGTGGCACATGACCTGGAAAAGCTCATTTTTGAAGTCAGAGTACAAAGTCCTTTAACGTGGTACCAAAACTGTTCCACAGAGTTGTTTTGCAAAAAATATATATATATATGTATAAGACCACCTTAACTGAATAACAGGAAAAAAATTGCATAAATTGCAAATTTTAGAGCTTTGCGACCTAGGCAATTGTGTCCTTTACCAATCGTGAAAATTTGACAACATTCGGTTGAAACCCAATGGAGATATCGTGTTTGGAATATTGGTAATCCATCTGTTTGGTCGTTTTGAGAAATAAGGCTTTGAAGTTTTTCTTGGGTTTCCGAAAGCCCAAATTAGCCCTGTGAACGGGGGGACGGCAGAGACAGGGGGAGGGGGTATATCGAAAGGTTTTACATAAATATTCCATTGAAAACCCGAATACGCACCGGTCATAAAAATGTTAACCAAGCATAAGGGACGTATAACATGGTACAGGAAACAATGTTCAGGGACATGATGCAAAATTCGCATAAGAGCATAGTATCTCCAAAGCTTTCCTGTCAAGTATTATTAAAATCATGATGAACCGTACTGAATCTATTTTATTAATACTTTTGGAATGTAAACAACCGTTGCTATAGGCGTTGCTATGTTAAAATATAGCTACCAATGTGCAGATATGGTTTTTTGGAGGAAGATTTGTTTCTGAAGTTGTAAGACTCCCCTGCAAATTTAATCTGACCCCTAAATCGAAAGATACCACTTAAAACGAAATAACTCGAGTTCCAGAAAGGAACGTTCGTTAGTAAACCGGACTTGAGAAACCGGCGGAAATCGAGCGTAAAAACGGAAATAAGAGCGTTTCTTTTATTATTTTTTCTTTGTTTTGCCATCAACACTCTAAGTAAGACAAGAGTTCACCCAAGACCTTTTCGTATGAGAGTTCCCCCCCCCCCCCCCCCCCC